ATGTTGCAGGAGGTGCCTGGCGCGTGCTGGGCACACTGGGACGACGGGGGGTGGGCCTGGTGTCGAGGAGGGGCCGGCCGGCTACAGACAGACTGGAAATGCTGGGGGCTTGGTGAGGGGTAGCCCCTCCCAGGAGCTGGGGCACGTGGGCGGGCAGTGAGGACCTGGGCTGGGGAGGCAGAGAGGGTGGTCTCTAGGCTGAGTGAACCAAACCTCCATGACAGGCGACAGGCGAGGGTCACCTCACCTCCGAGTGGAATTCCCAGCGTGGGGGTAACGCGCTCAGAAGGGGGCCCGGAGTGCCGAGGGCGAGATAAGGCTCCTCCTCCCCAAAATAACCGTGAGGATGCTGTGCCAACAGGAAGCCGGTGTCCCTGGAGTGCCCTGCCCGCCAACCATGCAGGTGTCTTTGGGACAGCGCCACATGGGGGCTGTCAGAGGAGGAGTCAGGCAGAGTGGGCCACAAGGTTAGGAGGAAAAGGCGAGCCCGGCCTGTCCCCAAGGAAGCCCTACTCTAACCACGACCCTGTCCTGCCTACCTAGGTCCTGCGGGTGGGGCAGAGTCTCATGGTGGCTGAATGGACTGGGCACCCCTCTCGGGGGTGCTACCCTGTGCCCTGTGCAGGGCCTGGGCCTCAGGTGCCACGCTGGCCACAGTGTGGGGAGGGAGCTTCCTCAGCCAGGCCAGGCCGGGCGGGCGAGGGGGGCGGGCTGCATCTGCGGGCGAGGGGCCAGGAACTGGGGGTGGACGGGCCCACACGTCTGTGCTCCGGAGAGATTTTCTCAAGCAATCAAAGGTGGCAGCTTGTCAGCGTATGATGAACTGAAGTGTGAATCCTGAAACGCCTCTGCTGATTTGTGGTTTGAGGCAGGAGAGGCTCAGGAAAGCACTGCCCGCCCTCGCCAGGGCCTGCCAGGGACCTCGTGCTGGGGACGGGGCCTGGTCCTGCAGCCCCTGCCCAGCGTGTCCCTCCCACCGTGCCGCCCTCCTGGGGAGCCTCGGCCCCAGCTCTGTCCGAGTGCTGCGCTGGCTTCGGCCCGGGAGACGTCACACAGGGTGGGGATGTCCGCTGGAGGCAGAGACACTGGAGAGGAAGGCTCCGGGGTGCTGTGGAGCCGGGGGGCATTGCGAGTCCTCCACAGGCACAGAGCTTCAGCACCGAGGGCCCAGAGAGTAACCCCACCCTCCAGGAGTTTGGCTGGCATCCTCCGAAACCCAGGCCCCCATTTGGGGGGTGGCCTCTTCCCGCACTTCCCTTGGGCCTAGGACACAGGAGAGACCAGATGGCCTCCCCCTCCATCCCCGGCAGCCTCGGGGAGCCCCTGGTGTCCCCTAAAGCACACTGCTGTGCCCCGGGGCCAGGATGACCAGCCCCGAAGACGTCCTGGGTCAGCCATGCTGCAAACCCTCTGGCTGAGGGTTGGTGGGCTGCAAGGCCCATTCTTCACAGTGGCTCTGAGCTGGGCCAGGCCTGTGCTGGCTGTAGGCAGGCACGTCGGGGTTTGGCCATGTGTGTGGACATGACACTGAACCCTCTGTCCACCCACGGGTCTGTCTTGGCACACATGTGGTGACACTCTGTGCCACCGACGGAGATTTCGGGGTGAGGTTCTAGATGGTTCTCTCTCAAAGGATGAGGGTGTGTTCGTTGGGGAGGATTATTTCCCGGTGGAGGAGATGGCACATTCTAGGAATGGGCCACTGTGGTCCTGAAAGGCAGGGCCCTGGGCAGAAAGCCAGAGCCGGACGCTCAGCCAGGGCACCAGCCTGGCCCCTGCCCTGGGGAAATGGCTTGACTGAGCCAGGAAGGGCTGGCAGGGTGTGGACACGGGGCCGGGAAGGGAGCGTGTGGTGGGCTTGGGCCTCAGGGCACTGACCCCGTGCCCAGGAAGGGTGGGCGGTGGCGAGCCAGGCCGGGGGGAGCCGTGACATCCAGGGAGGCCAGGCCAGCTGTGCCCAGACTCAGACCGGCAGAGACTGGGAGCCGCAGTTCGTCCAGGAAAAGGACGGCGCGTCCCTGTGTGTCGGTTTCCCACGGCTGCCGCACCTGGGGCTTAACCACCGACATCCACCTCAGTTCCAGAGGCCGGAGTTCCGAATCCTGGTCCCCAGGGGCTCCCGGGGAGAAGCCTTCCTTCCTGGCCTCGTCCAGCCTCGGTGACCGCAGCGTCCTTGGCTCCCTGGGCTGGTGGCTGCCTCCCTCCGTCCCTGACTCTGCCCTCTCGTCACCCTCTCCTCGACACGTCCTTGTTTCTTCTCGCGAGGATGCTTGTCCCTGGGTTTCGGACCCATCTGGCTAATCTATGATGTGACTCTCAATTTATTTATTTTTTATTAAAAATTTTTTTCTTTATTGATTTTAGAGAGAGAGAAAGGGAGAGAGAGAGAAACATTGATGAGAGGGAACATCGATTGGCTGCCTCCTGCACGCCCCTCACTGGGGATCGGGCCCACAACCTGGGCATGTGTCCTGACCAGCGACCTCATGGTGCATGGGTTGACGCTCAACCACTGAGCCACACCAGCCAGGCGAGACTCTCAGTTTAATACCACATGCAAACTCTGCGCAGGTGTGGATGGGACCAGCGGCACACGGGGCACTGCCTCGCTCCCGAGTGGGCTGGGGACCCGGGACCCAGCATGAAAGCTCTCCCCCCTCTTTCTTTTCAGGCTGACCCTTGGCCCCTGCCCGGCTCTGCTGGCTGGCTGCCACCCAGCCTGGTAAGTGCCCTGCATCTGGCATGGCGGGGCCCCTGGCACTTTGAGACCCCGGCCCTCGGCGCAGGGAGGGGGAGTGGAAGACCAGAGCCGCCATCACTGGCGGTTGGGGTGGTGCGAACATCCTCTGTTTCCAGGAACGTGAGAGGCAGAGGCACTCACGACAGGGGTGCTGCTGCCTCGGGAGACAGGAGGGCACATGGAGAAACAGGCGCAGAGAGGAAGGGTCTGGGAGGCCACGCAGCGGCCCAGGGCTCCTGACCTCTGCTTCCCAGAGGGAAACTAGGTTTGGGGAAAGGGCCCCACAGGTCTGGGCCCCACAGGGACCCCTGTGCCTCTGCTCTGGGCCTTGACTCCCCCTTCAGCATCGCAGGCTGGGTCAGGTCTGGTGGGCATGGCCTCTGCATTTATGTGCTCCGGGCCCTCGGGACAGGGCAGGGGAGGCTGTGGCATCGGCTGGACCTCAGGCCTCCTCATCCATCCTGCCATCTGTCCAGTGAGGGCTGTGATGGCCTCAGGATGGCCGGTGGCTCCTGGTTCTTATCTTGGCAGGTTCTCACCTCCACACCTGCACCCCAGCCTCTTTGGGCCTTGGCTGCCTATCCCCCACGGTTTCCTCCCCACCCTGGGATGCTCTAAGCCTGAGCCTGTGCTCCGCCTTGGTCTCCCCCACCCCCACCCTGTCCCAGCAAACTCCTCCTCTCTGGCCCCTGGCCCCTCCCCTGATGCAGGGCCAGTGGGGCTTGGCACATCCTCTGGATCCCGGCCCCTGAGGCCGCGCCCATCCTGGAAATGCCCCCTGGCTGTCCTGGAGGGTGCTTGGCCCCAGGCCCCTCAGCTGCTGTTTCATCTCCGCCCCCAGCACACATTCCCAGTTGGAGAAACGGAGGCTCTGAGAGGCAAAGTCAGTGGCTTGAGGCCATGCAGTTGGCAAAGCAGGGAAGTGGGCTGGGTGCCCAGCAGTGTCTCACCCGGGGGCCTCTACGCACCCTGCAGGCCGGTAAGGGTAAGGGAAAGAGGCCCACTTAACCCTCCTCTCGCCACCATCTGTCTGCCTTGTGGCCAGCTTTCTGCTAAAGGCAGGGTGTGCCCTTGGCCATCGGAGGGCACTGAGGCTGGCCCAGGCTGGGGGAGACCAGGGTGGTTGTGCCCACCCTGAGGAGCCCTCAAACACAAGAGGCTCAGGATGCCTGTGACCCGAGCTGGCCCCCAGGTGGCACGGGGCTTTGGCAGAGGTCTGGGGCTGCCCTCACACAGGTGAGGGATGCCAGGTGCTGGCACCACCAGCTGTGGGGCTGTGCCCTAGGAAACCTGGTGAACAAGACGAGGCTTTTGCAACTCCCGGGGGTCCTGTGGCCTGTCACCCTCAAATCATGCCAGGAGGGTAGCCCCAGAGGGCCCCTTCCTCTGTCTGGCCCTGCCTCCTGGCAGGGATATGACCTTGAGAGCACCCAGGCGCAGGGACAGGGGTGTGGCCTCTCAGCACCCAGAGGCTTGGACTTCACCGCTCTCTGCCAGACCCTGGCCAGTGGGGCAGGGCTGGCCTGGGAGTCGCTGGCCTGAGTGGCCCTGGGGCAGAGCTGGGAGTGATGGGCTTGCTCTGCCATTCAGGTCACAGGCGCTGGCCCAGTGCTCACAGAGCCAGCAGAGCGGTCCCTGGAGGGCGGCTCCCGGACGGAGGCTGCTTCTGGCATGGGGAGCAGGAGCCGGGGTGGCAGGGTTGGGCCTGGGCCTGGGCCTCGAACTGGTGCCTGGTCCCTTGGTGGTGAGGGCTGAGAGGCGGCTACCTTGATGCCCACAAGGTCCTGGTGCGCGGGACACAGCCCGGGTGCCTCAGAGGCAGAGCTGGGCGCAGCCGTTCACGCTGGTGGGAGGAGCGTGCTGGGGAGGCAGTAAGCTCCCAGGGTGGGCTGTCAGCACTGGCTGATTCCTGGGCAGCGGCCCTCTGGGGCTGGGCCTGGCGTCCCGGGCTATGAGGGGCTTCTGGGGTTTGCTGGGGAGAAGCCAAGTCTGCAGAGGTGGCTGTGGGGGGACCTGTGGGGAGCTTCCTCCCAGGGGACACAGCTGGCCTCACCCAGGGGCCTGGAGAGCTGTGGTCTCGCCCACGGGATGGGGAGGCGGGCAGAGGCAGGGGCCACTGAACCCTCGAGGCTGAGCAGTGCCGATGGGCAGCCCTGGGCCTCAGCTGGGCCTCAGGCCTCACTGGGGAGAAAGCAGGAAGTGCTGGCGGCTCCCGGGGCTGCCCAGGGACCGGCAACAGGAAGTCCCCGGAGTGGGGGGAAGGCCCTGGAGGCCACAGGCCTCAGACGCAGCTGGCGCTGGCAGCAGGAGGAGCCGCCAGTGAAGCCAGCTGGTAGCACTCTGGGCAGCGCCGGGGCAGCAGGCCTCACCAGCGTGGGCATGCAGGCTCTGCTCCATGGCCCCTAAGCCTCATGGCCTCCCCAGGCCGCCGAACACCTGTCCCCAACCCGTCGCCAGGCAGGAGGAGAGCAATGTGTTGGGTCACTGCTGTCAGGTCAGTGGGGCGGCCCTGGGACTGGGCCCTCGGGAGCTGGTGCCAGCCCAGTGCCTGCAGAGCCACCTGGGGAGCCCAAGGAGGAGCCAGGGACCTCCTAAGGGCTGTGTGGGGTGGGGGTGGGGGACCCTGGCCCTGGCCCTGGGCACTCAGCAGGCAGCTGACAGGGAGGTGGGGCGAGCCTGCCCACTGTACACTCTGCCAGGGTGGCCTTTGCGTTTAGGTCCTGTGTGCGCATACACTGTGTGTGAACGACTGTGTGAGAGTGCTGTGAGTGTGTGTGTGAGCGTGAGAGTGTGAGTGAGCGTGAGTGTGAGAGTGTGAGCGTGAGTGTTGTGAGTGTGAGAGTGTGAGTGAGTGTGAGTGTGAGAGTGTGAGCGTGAGTGTTGTGAGTGTGAGAGTGTGAGTGAGCGTGAGTGTGAGAGTGCTGTGAGTGTGTGTGAGCGTGAGAGTGTGAGTGAGCGTGAGTGTGAGAGTGTGAGCGTGAGTGTTGTGAGTGTGAGTGAGTGTGAGTGAGAGTGTGAGCGTGAGTGTTGTGAGTCTGAGTGAGTGTGTGAGTGTGAGTGTGAGAGTGTGAGTGTGAGAGTGTGAGCGTGAGTGTTGTGAGTGTGAGCGTGAGAGAGTTAGCGTGAGTGTTGTGAGTGTGAGCGTGAGAGTGAGTGAGCGTGTTGTGAGTGTGAGCGTGAGAGAGTGAGCGTGAGGGTTGTGAGTGTGCGTGAGTGTGTGAGTGTGCATGCGAGAGTGTGAGTGAGCATGAGTGTTGTGAGTGTGTGTGTGAGTGTGAGTGTTGTGTGAGTGTGCGTGTTGTGTGAGTGTGAAAGTGTGAGTGTGATGGTGAGAGTGTGAGTGCTGAGTGTGAGGCTGTACTGTGAGTGTGTGAGAACCTGAGTGTAATTTTGAGTGTGAGGCAGACCGAGCGTGTGTGAGAGAACCTGTGAGTGTAATTTTGGGCGTGAGGCAGACTGAGTGTGTGTGAGAGAACCTGTGAGTGTAATTTTGGGTGTGAGCCAGACCAAGTGTGTGAGAGAGAACCTGTGAGTGTAATTTTGGGTGTGAGGCAGACCGAGTGTGTGAGAGAGAACCTGTGAGTGTAATTTTGGGCGTGAGGCAGACTGAGCGTGTGTGAGAGAACCTGTGAGTGTAATTTTGGGTGTGAGGCAGACTGTGTGTGAGAGAACCTGTGAGTGTAATTTTGAGTGTGAGGCAGACTGAGTGTGTGAGAGAGAACCTGTGAGTGTAATTTTGGGCGTGAGGCCGACTGAGTGTGTAAACCCCTGCGCCGAGGGTTGGGCAGTGCTGCAGGAGCCCTGTCTGCCTGCCTGGGCAGCGGTGAGCTTGGGGGCCTGGCACCCAGCTGAGGACCAGAGTGCCAGGAACCTGTGGGCGGGGGACTCTCCTCATGACCCTGGCCGGCGCTCTCCCTCTGGCCTGGCTGGTCAGCCGCCTTCACAGGAGGTTTTCGGTTTTGATTCTTCTATGGAGCAGGATTCTAGGAAGAGGAAGGGGAAACTGAAAGGCAGGAACCAACACACGAGCTGGTGTGAGGCGCTGCGCCCCTCCCTGCAGCCGTCATCACTCCGCCCCGCGCCGGGGTGATGTGTGACTTTGGGCAAGTTACTCAGCTTCTCTGGCCCTTGGTGCCTTCATCAGTGCCGTGGGGTGGTGCAGGCTCACACCCGGGGGAGCTGGGATGATGACATGAGCGCCCGTGGCGAGTGTCCAGTGCACCTGGTGTGAGTCGTGAGCCTGTCCTGGCCTCAGTGGCCTGGTCTGTACAATGGGAGAAAGGCACTGAGGTTGTGGGTTTAATGAGCTGACCCTGTAACTGGGCATTGCAGGGCCGCGGTGGTGGTGATTCTGATTGGGCCTGTGCTCCGGCCCAGGGCACTGGGGGTCACCCACGAAAGCTTATGTCGGCCCCTGGAGGCTGTGGGTGTGCACATGGGAGCCAGTGAGCGGGTGTGCATTCGGAGGAGTGCAAGTGGGCATGAGAATGAGTGTGTAAGAATGCATATGAGTGTGTGCATACATATCTGAATGCGGTGCGCATATGTATGTGTGAGCGTGAGTGGATAGGTACACATACATGCGTGCGAGTGTTATGTGCACATGTGTATGTGTGAGTGGGTATCATTGAGAATGCGTGTGAGCGTGATTGTGTAAGCATGTGTGTGCCTGGGTGTGTGTGACTGAGTGTGCTGGGGGACCTGGTCTCTCCCAGCCCCTCCCCACCCTGTGCGTGTGCCCACAAACTGACCAGCCTGGTCCGCCCTGCCAGGAACTCCCTGACACTGTGGTCACACGAGGCCCAGCTCCCTCACCATGTCCAGGGTCATGTTTGCAGGTGTCCCGCAGGAGCCCAGCCCTCCAGGAACCTTCGCGTGGCTCACACACAGGCGCACACCCCTGCACACCCAGGCACACACGCTGATGCAGACACATAGAACCTCCCGTGCTAGCCAAGCAGCTCTTGCATGTCCTGTGGCCCTGTCTGTGCACTGGCCGGCGGTGTGGACCACAGCTCGCATGTGCGCCTATGCAGCCAATGAGCCCTCCCCTCTCTGGCCACACAGCCGCCACAGAGCCTGTGCTTCCCGGAACTCGAGGGGCTGTCTCTGTAGGAAGGGACAGTTTCCACCCGCCTGATGTCCCCACCCCTCCAGCGTGGCCTCAGGTCACCTAGACTAATCTCAACTTTGAGAGAGGGTGGGGGTGAACCCGGGAGCAGAGACGGAGAGGGAGTCCAAGGTATTCGAGGCCCCTTTCCTAGTGCACACGCCCAGAAGGGCTCCTGCAGCCCCGCAGCTACCACACCATCCACCGGACACCGACCTGTGTGTCCGGAACTCTGCCCCAGGCAGCCCCCCCGAGTGCAGGGAACCACAGGGAACAGCCGTGGCAGCACAGCAAGCCTGGGAGGCTGCAGGCTCACTGAGGGCTCCGTCCCAGAGGGGATGGACTTGTCACTGTGCGGCTAGGTGTCAGTGCCCTGCGGGTGTCCGCTCCTTGGCTCCTTTGCACTGGAGGACGCAGAGGCTCAGGGGAGGACAGGTCTGGTGGGACTTGAACCAGCTCTGCAGCACGGTCCCCGACAGCTCCCAGCCAGGGTGGCTCAGGAGGCTCAGCTTGGGGAGGGCACCCGGGGTGTCTACCCCTAGAGAAGGGGACTAAGGCTTCCTGTGGTGAGCTGGCAGGAAGGCCTGTGGGGGCCCCTGAGGTGAATGGAGTGTAACCATCAGGTCACTGGAGCTGGGTGATGCCGTGAGCACTGAGGGAGACAGCAGGGAGGCGAGGTCGGCCAGGACGGTGGTGCCCCTTGAGGACTCCCCTCAACTTTCTTGGGCGTTGATGGAGCTGGAGTCGTGTTTTTCATTTTATTTTATTTATTTATTTATTTAACTTATCTTTATTGTTGAATGTATTACAAATGTTCCTCCTTTTTCCCCTATTGACCCCCTCCTCCCGGCGCCCACCCCCCACCTTCCCCACACTGTTGTCTGTGTTCACTGGTGATGCATATATACATGTAAGTTCTTTGGTTTATTTCTTCCCTCCCTTCCCTTTGAGGTTTGTCAGTCTAACAACCAAACTACTTCTTTTTTTTTTTTTAATCCTCACCTGAGGATATTTTTGCATTTATCTTCAGATAGAGCAGGAGGGAGAGAGGGGAAGGGGGAGAGAGAGAGAGAGAGAGAGAGAGAGAGAGAGAGAGAGAGAGAGACATTGATGTGAGAGAGACACATTGACTGGTTCCCACCCACACAACCTCAACCAGGTCCGAGGACAAACCACAACCGAGGTACGTGCCCTTAGTGGGAACCGAACCCGGGTCTCTCTGCTCTGCGGGCCGACACTCTAACCGCTGAGCAAAACCTACCAGGGCCGAATTGTGCTTCTTAACCCCTTCACCTTTTCCACACATTCCGCCAACCCCCCTCCCATCTGGCAAGCAACAAAATGTTTTCTGTATCTATGAGTCTGTTTCTGTTCTGCTTGTTCATTTTGTTTGTAGATTCCATTGTCGATAGATATGTATCCATTGCCATTTTGTTTGTTCATATTTTTGATCTTCTTGTTCTTCAAAACGACTCATTAACATTTCATATAATACTGGTTTGGTGGTGATGAACTCCTTTAGCTTTTTCTTGTCTGCAAAACTCTTTTTTTTTTTTATTTTTTATCCTCACCCGAGGATATTTTTCCATTTTTTGTACAAGTAGAGTGGGAGGGAGAGAGAGGAAGGGAGAGAGAGAAACATCGACGTGAAGGGACACATCGAGTGGCTGCCACCCGCACGACCAACCAGGGCCGGGGACAAACTGCAACCGAAGTACGTGCCCTTAGCGGGAACCGAACCTGGGTCTCTCCGGACTGCAGGCCGACACTCTAACCGCTGAGCCAAACTGGCCAGGGCTGCAAAACTCTTTATACGGCCATCAATTCTAAAGGATAGCTTTGCAGGATAGCGTAATCTTGGTTGTAGGTTCTTGACTATTTCTTGCCACTCCCTCCTGGCCTGCAAAGTTTCTTTTGAGAAATCAGCTGACAGTTTTATGGAAGCTCTCTTGTAGGTAACTAACTGCTTTTCTCTTGCTGCTTTTAAGATTCTCTTTGTCTTGCCCTGGCCGGTTTGGCTCAGCGGTTAGAGTGTTGGCCTGCAGTCCGGAGAGACCCGGGTTGGTTGTGCGGGTGGCAGCCACTCGATGTGTCCCTTTCACATCAATGTTTCTCTCTCTTCTCTCTCTCCCTCCCACTCTATCTGAACAAAAAATGGTAAAAATGTCCTCGGGTGAGGATAAAAAAAAAAATTAAAAAAAAGATTCTCTTTGTCTTGAACCATTTGCATTTTTTAAAAAAACATGTTCTGTTGATTCTTTTAGAGAGAGAGGAAGGAAGAGAGAAATAGAAACATCAATGTGAGAGAGATACATCTATTGGCCGCCTCCTGCATGGCCCCTACTGGGGATTGAGCCCACTTCCTGGGCATGTGCCCTGACCAG